TATCATTTAACAAAAAATATGTTTATTTTTGACATAAAAAAATGACACAAAATATACAAAATATGCATATTTTTGCATAAAAGCTTACCTAGCTCCACCACGAAATTCTTTCATAATTGTATCACGTTCCTTTTGTTCCATCTCACCATGCATAGCTGATACAGTGAAGTTTGCTTCTTTCAATTTTTCTGCCAGCCAATCAACCTGTACAATATTTTCAAGCGATTACAACACAAAACTGCAAAAATCACAATAATAATACAGTCTACATATGAAATTATCATTTCACGTACTTTATTTAATGACAAGGAATATATAAGCTATCACGATACTTCCAACCTTGTAGAACTTCATATATTAATATATTTATAGCTAAAAAGAATTTGCTAAACTTTCATTATCTATTAACAGATGTCTTAATCAAAAATCTAAAAGAACAAAAACTAGCATCGCATCTTCTCTTCATCATAATGCAAAAGCGAACCTTTCTGCGTGTATTACAAAAAATCACAGCCTGCGTGATTGTAAGTGTATCGTAAAGATCGCACAAGGTGTCAAATTTCCACTCTTCTCGATCAACTGCCACAAAAAATTGCTTTATACCTTCCAGTGTCAACTCATCACTGTAAATATCTTTTATCATTTCATTTCAATAGTAATTTTGTCCTCAAAATGATTAAAATACGCCCATAAATTCATTTCAAAATTTGTGAAAGCAACAAAAGTAAAACCTACAAATTCTAAAATGAAAATAAAAACTATACAAAGCAAATTCTGGATGAAACTGAAACTCAATGATTATAAAACAAAAAACATTATACCAACCGTTTCACGAGAATACGAATGGGATCAGTCATGAATTTGCTGGTCATTTCAAGAATTTCATGAGGAAGAGTAGCCGAAAGAAGTACAACTTGAGCACCCGGAGGAAGATAACGATAAATATCGTAAATTTGTTCCTTGAACCCTTTATTAAGCATCTCATCAGCTTCATCAAGAACCAACATCTTGATGCTGCGAGTACGCAAGTTGCGGCGTCGAATCATATCTGAATCATATATGTTATATATAGTACAACTATTTAGGAGAAAGCTTCATATCATTTGAAAAGAATGCACAGTATCATAAGTGATATACTCAAAAACTAACAATAAAAATATTTTGCTCTAATATTCCAAAAATCCATGATATAAAACAACTGCATAGCATTTCAAAGCATAACAAATTACTAACCAAATACTCTTCCAGGAGTTCCCGAAACAACATGCTGACCGTAGTCAAGTTTACGAATATCTTCGCCAACATTAGTGCCTCCGATACATGCATGACACTGCACATTCAAATAGTCACCCAAAGCAAGCATCACCTGAAAAACTGTCCATACAAAATGATGGCTTCATCATTAATAACATGAATGACCTAATTTATTCAAATCAAAAGTGAAACAGCATAATAAAAAACCTTTTGTATTTGTACGGCTAATTCTCGTGTTGGAGATAAAACTAATGCTTGCGTCTCACGCACTGTTATGTCCAGAGACTGTAATACCGAAATACTGAATGTTGCTGTTTTTCCAGTACCTGATTGTGCCCTGAATTAAAAAAACTAAAAGTAAGTGAAAATTTTTACAGCTACTTCTACACGCAGGAATATTTAAAGCAGATACTTACTGAGCAATAACATCACGACCTTTAATTATTTGTTTGATAGCACGCTGCTGAATTGCTGAAGGTTTCTCAAATCCTAAAAATCTCAACTGTCGAGTTTAAATAGCAAGATACTGAGCATATTTGAAAATCATGAAATAAATGCAATTTATTAAACATGCTGAAAAGAAGAGAAACTACCGTAGGAATAAATTCCTCGCAATAATTCTTCCCCCAGACCCATGCTATCAAAAGTGTGCGCTACATCAACTTCTTCCGAAGTTTCGAATTCAACATTGGATAAATCTTCTGCAGTTGGTTCAATCTGTCTTTTACGCTTCGACATATTTGCTATTTTTATAACGAATGAAGTCAAGAACTGAAAGATCAAATTGACTAATACCGAAAGTACAAAATGGTAGAACTACACAGCTGCGTGGTACTGAAGTGTAAAATATAGAAAATCCTGAAATCTTCTACTCCAATTTGAAAGAATTCATATTCTCAAACCAAACTTATAAATTTCAATGTACTACATAATAATAAGTTTCATCGTAAGCTACTGCAGAATTGTGAAGTAGCACGTCTTCACCCAGAAATTCTGCTAAATAACCAAATTTATGAAACAATAAAAGAAGAGTTAGCCAACAAAAATCGATTTAGTTTCGCACGAACAAAAAGGAACAATTGCCTGTTGGTAAACCACAACCCGGCCATTCAGAAATCTGATAATCGAGACCCAAACTTCAATTTTTGAGACTATTATTGTAAATCGAATTGCCAAACATCGAGTTTGCGATCTTTTTTCGTTTCGAAATATTTGTAAATATTACTAGAGTATAGCGAAACAAGAACCTAACAATGACCTTTATATTAATGAAAAATTGGCAAAATTAAGTGCGAACTGAAAACACTTGGATTTTTCGCTTAAATTTGATAAGCACAGAAGTTGCTAAAATGGCTGACAGTTACCTACAATACTATACCTTTAATTAAATAACAAATGACTACAACACGACTTTTATACCGCAAAGAGTTCAGATAATGCCCTCTATCAATTGCAACATTTTTCACAAGCGAGTTAAAAAACCTATGGGCACTATGAAAAACTAATGTCTCGTCAAACTTTTCTATTGTCAAATTCTCTTCGTGTGCTCAAGTCTTGGTTTTTGTTCTCTGCATGATGTAGATTCACTGATTTTAAGGTTCTGAAATTTTATTTATTCATGATTTAAGTCTTGCTGTCAAGTATTGCTGTGATATCTAAAATCGTTGCGTAATTTATCAGATTGATTGTAATTTCATTCACATACCAAATCGTTCATATACTTTTTGTAGTTTTTGCTGCATGAATTGCCCCATTCACCTTTTATTTATTCTTTAAGAAAGGATACTTGCAGTATACTTATTTATCAAGAAACTTCTTCCACAGTCAGTTGTTTATTTGCTAGGAGCAGTTTTTTGATGAATGTCAACATGTGAAGCATGTGGAAAGAGAAAAACAGCTTGGAGTTTGAATTAGTTGTTCAGAATGTTACTCTCTTAATTAGTGATTGTAACTGTTAATGTTTATTTTTGTCAGGCTCAAAATATTACTGTATGCTGGACGAATTGTTGTCTTACTACAAATGAGTGAATGGCGAAAACTGAGATTGATGACGAGTACATAAAGATTTTAGGTACTTCATTTGTCTCATAATATTTTAAATGGAAGTAGTAATCGTAGTTCACTTTTTTAGAGCTAAATACTTTTTGTCGCTATAGAGCTAAAAAAATTGTAAAATGGCTTTGATACGCACACATTTAAAACTTCAATATTCCAGTCATGATATTCAAGAAGAAAGTAGTGCGTTTGGTTGATTTGAATACGTGAGTTATTGATTTAAAAGTTTCGTTAACTGTATAAATAATCGATACCTGGTTATTTACAGAAAACAAACTGAAAAATCTCCGGAAAAGTGAAGACGAGTTCAATTCCAAAATAGTGTTGAATGATATAAACAGATATAAGGAAGACAAAGTAATTTCGTCGTTTGAAATTTGAATGTTTCGTTTGTTAAGAATAAAACTCTGCAGTTCGAGATATCTCAGGATTCATTAGTGAAATACAAAATATGTTGAAAGTAAACAGAAAATTGCTGGAAAATAAAGTTAAAATGAGAAACCTTTTGATTTTTCAGCTATTTTGTTTGCTGTCGAAACCCGATCATTATTTCGAAGATAATTTTATTGATCACCCAATCACTGCTTCATATTTGCGACGCAAATTTGCTCCTCAAACTGTTGCGCTGCATTCTGAAGAGCTGGCTTCATTACTTAAGGCTGATCACTTGTGCCTGCAAAATGCAAATGCGAGTAGTGAAGAAATAACACCTCTGTTAGATCCGAATAATGTTGAGTAATTAAAACCAGTTAGTGTTTATCTTGAAATTTGAACCCTCTTGGTTTTAGCTATATTTTTATTTTTTTACACGAATTATTTAACTTACTAACAGATGTGATATATTTTTCATGTTTTCTCGTAAACAAATCAAATTTTATACATCAACTTACAAGCAAGTTGCATAAAAAATTAATTGTAATGATAAAAAGCAAAATTACAAGCTTTAAAGAGTACCGGAAGTATTCAAAATTTCAGCACCTTCAGAAAGATCTTTATAAGAAAGTTGTTGAAAGGAAACAGAAGCATTTCTAATTTTATATGGCAGCAATGAGTTGGAAAGAAAAAAGTTTTGTTCCTGTTCCATATTCCAATACTTACAGTCTGCATAAATTGTCGGGTGAATTTTATAAATATTAGTTTTAGCGGCTATATAAATTGGTTGATTTTTAAAAGTTTTATAAGTTAATGTAAAATGTTTTTTTATTGCTATCATATTTGGATATAACTTTATTATTTTCTCTTATTTTCAAATGCAATTTTTCAAGCATGATTTGAGCGAATTAGAAATCTAGCTGTTTATTACTAAGCTGATTAATTTTAGATCGAAGTATTATATGTGTATCATTATGCGGTAAGGTTTGTTGGATGAATGATGCGGAACCTGTAGATTTGCGTGCTTTGTTAGACGAAGGTTTTGATGAAAATGAAAATCTCGAAGTTGTCACATCGGATTGTGCTAAACGAAATGATAGTGATGATATCAGTTTTCTTGTCACCTGGTTAATTTTAGCTTTTGAGTATACAGTTTTCTGCATTTATTTGAAGCACTAAAAGTGATTTTTGATTTCAGTTTCTTAATGACTTACTTTCTGAAATATATTTTAGTTGGGTATTGTTTGATCATTTGTGGTTGCCGAAGCGCTACTTTGCTGTGATATTCAAAGCTATTGACAATCAAAGATTTGTTTTATGTAAGTAACTATAAAAATCCCAGATGCAAATCATTAAACAGTTACCATACTTGTTTCTGTCTTTACTTTCCTGTTTGTGAAACGTCATGAAAGAATTAAGGTTTCAAAACAGTTCTTTTTATTAATATTTTTCAGGCCATAAACTAGAACTTGACAATGTACCTTCATTTACTCGAGTGACAGCTGAAGCAGCTATCGCTGATAACCGTCACTGCTGGCTTATATTTACTGCTTCACGTGCTGCTCGTTTATTTGTCGTGCAGGTCTTTTTTTTAATTAAAAAATTCTTTCAAACTATCAACTTATAGATTTTTTTGCGAAGATTTTTCTTCAGCCCGTATCGCTTGCAGTTGAAGAAATTGAGTCAGTTGGAGATATTTATCCCGGTCTTGATCTCGGGGACTTACCCGGCTCTGCAATAAGGTAGTTTATTTTAATTCAATTATATTTGCATTATATCCTCTTCTGTTAAATAAGAGTATTCGTATCATTTGTAGTCAAATTACAAACTAGAAATTTCGTGTTACTGCAGGTCAAATTGCCTTCAAACGCCATCATATCGATGGTCTGTGTTAGGTTTTGATACTGGATATGTAATTGCTACGGCACTGTCAATGAAGACGAACTTTATAAAAGACAGGTACTTTGTAGTATATATTTATTATTTTTACCGACCATTTAATGTTGTCTTATTTGAAGTTTTTTAAGGACTACAGCTAGTTGATATTTAGGAGTAAGTTGAAATTTTCTGGAGCTGTATCAGTTTTATTTATTTTGGAACATGCTGGAAGAGAAGATAAAATTTCTGTATTAGTATCATCTACGCTTGGACCGGCAACTATTTGGACACTGTCTCAAATCTCTGATGAAAGTCATTTCAACTGGGAAATGATAAGTGTGCTAGAAGATAGCTGTGGTCATGATGCTATTGTCTGCTTTGCTGCAAATGATGAACTGGTTGCCATTGGAACATACAGGGGTGTATGTTTTTATTAATGTATTTTTATATTTGTTAGAAGATTGGGAATTTAGAATTTTTAATTTATATTTTAGACAAACAAATTCGAGAAAAAGATAAGACTTCTTATGTAATAAAGAAATCAAGTAACTAAGTACAAAGTTTTAGATTTCTTAATTTCATTCAGCCTGAGAATATTAAAATCCTTCTTTTCCTTACATTCTCGCTGAATTCGGTTTTCAGCATATGAGGTATGTACTTTATAACCTGAATAATTAAGTATGAAGTTTTAGATTTCTATATCATCTATTGGTAATGGATTTAAGTTTAGGACATTTTAATGTACGAACGCATTGATCTCGTGTCTGGCGAGCCTAGCATAACTTCACGTTCAATTAACCATCTGCATGTGCCAGTGATATCATTAACTTTTTTAAAATCTGATACCTTGGCTGTTTTGACTACTAAAGGTTTACATCTGTTAGAAAATGTATCAGACGACAAGCCTGTCTTTGCGCTATAATGATTAAGTTCAGCCATATTCTTGTCTTATTTGTTGAACATGGATCAAAATATTTTTATTGACTCGTCGGTGTAGTTCATACACAGGTTTGCTTTCAGATTTACAAAATTTTGTTGAAAGCAAGTTACTCTTGGTGCTGACATTATTATTTGCGCTTTAATTTAAAAATCGTTTGCAGACTCTTTGTACTTGAATCATTATGTCTGTATTTGTTGGCGATGTAAAATTTTTTCTTCACGTTTCAGTGTATTGTTTGCATAAAATTAGGTTAGTTTTTGAATTCATCAGTCAGTGATTAAAATAAAAGGCATAAAAGTGCTTATGATAGATGGCTTTCCTATCGTAATACTTTTGTTATTGAATAAATCTATGTGTAGAAAACAAGTGTGAATAATTTATAGATCTTTAATGAGATGAGATGAAAACGCTGCTGTAAATAAATTATTCAGTCAAAGCAGTTAACTTTGCCTGACCAAAACTTAGTAATAATTGAAAACTTGAGGTTCGGACGAATGTCCTTAATTCTTGTTATTTCAAGAATTTCGTTTTGTAAGTGGTCGTGAATGAAATATTAAAATGAAATGTGGAGTTAATGAGTGCTCAATTGTGTATAAGTGAAGAAATGACTCATCTCTATCTTATTAGCTCCATTTTCATGCCATTAGATTTTTTCCTAAGAATAATGGAGAGACTGCAGTTCGCATATACTGGACTGTGGTGCGTTGACGAGATTATTGAAGTGTTGATGGGATTATTAATTGAGTAAGCAGCATAGTAGCAAGAAAATAGAAGGCGAAAGTTGATTGAATTACTGGAATGAATTTCTTGTAATTGGAGACTAGAGGAAGGATGTGATTGGCATTCATTTATTTATATTTTGTATGAGATGCAGTTTTCAGTTTTCCTTCTCAGTTTTGAGAAGCACTTAAGAGGCGTTGGTCAAGTTTCTTGGTCCCCTGCAAGGTAAGTAGTATCTGACGAGTTATGAAAGTTACCAATTCCTAGTATTTATTGATATATAAGAGTTGCACTTCAGTCGCTCAAGTTCCGTTTTGCTGGTTACTAATTGGCCACCGTTTGTAAATATGCTTTGGCTTTTAAAAGACTAGCCCAATGATTGACAGTGCTTAAATGGTTGCTCGCTGACTGATTTTTTAATTCCAATAATAACTGATTACAGATATGAAACATTTTGCAACTCTTTTAAATATTTATTGGTTATTTGCTTCATTTTCTTAGTATCACTTTATTGGAAGTCAATAAGTTGTAGTGATGAAGAAAAACTATAAACGGGTGCTATTCAGAATAAAAGAGGAAAGTGTATTGCTTAATCGAGTTAAAAATAGATATCCTAATGTATGGCTTAGCTTTAAAGTTCAAGCTGAAGCACTCCGATGTAATAATTTATTAAACTTATGGCGTGCTCATTCACCGCCGTGATGGAGCCCTTGCCATTTAGTGCGGTTTTGGATAATTACTCGATTCTCACTAAAGTTTATATCTGTATAGAAAGTGGAAAAAGGAATTTCTTCAACAGCTTGAATCGTTTCCACATGGCATGGATTGATTATTACAAAAAATATTAATTGAAGAAGCAGCTTGTAATTACGGCAATATATTACGAGATATATTGCTTTTAATTAACTAGCTGAAGTGGTGCTGCTGTTCATGCTGACAGTAATTTTAAGCTAATCGAGCTGGTGAAACGAAAACTAGAATCTTTTGTAAATTGCAAGAAAAATGAACCCAAAGTAATCGTTCTAGCATGACTTCCTCTAAATGAAAGTGAGAAATTAGTTGAAAAACAGATTTGTGTACTATAATTTCTTAATACTATCAATTATAAACTGTACACTCAGTCAGTTTCAATGCGATTCGTCTAAAAGATCTTATAATCGTTGTTTTTTATTTTGCCTGTTTTTCTAGCAAAATCGCCAAGTAAACGGTTTTGATCTGAATTATTGAAAAGTCTATTTACTCAAACTTATTAAGTCTACGATAATATGAAAATCTATGAGTGCAATTGGCTGTTTTTAAAGGCTTAATTGATAAGTTGAAGTAATAACTTTGACAGTTCATGAATAATTGATTCTTTTGCTACTAATGGAATGTAGTAGTTGCGATGGAATTACTTTCAAAGTTTGTCATTTTTCTTTTTTGATATTATTGCAAATTTTTACGCTTCACTTTTGATTGCGCGTAACTTTGTTGTTTTTTTAAAATTATTTTATTGTATTCTTTCATTTAGCGACTGCTTTTTGAAGGTAATACTTAATTATTTCTGCTAAAGCTCTCAAATATTTTAATTTATTTGCTGGCAGTTTTTCACCTCGAATTACATCAGACATCTCAGTTGAATAGAAGCAAAATGCATAGCAATCTGATAAGATTCTGATAACTTCTCAACAAAATGATGCAATATCACTCACTGTTTGGGTCTTCCAACTTCTGCGATTCCAGTTTTTTTCAACTTTATTATCATTCTGTTCACAACTACTCTTTTATGTCAAACTCTTAATTGCTCCTTCAGAATAAAAAATAACCTCTGGTCTGCTCAACACAAATTGGAAATGACAAATTGTCATATCGAAAGTTACCACGGAAACCACATAACTGATTTTTAATTTTTATTTTTGAGCTCAACTTTTAAGTGAAAAAACGCCAAAAATTTATATCTCAGTCCATTCCTAGTGCCAGTATTGACACAATATATACGAATATAAAGTCTACAATATCAGTATATTTGTAAGATTAGAAGATTCTTTATTATCAATAACTTAGCTAAAGACTCAGGTTTGAATTAATTTATGTAAATTTGTGTACTTTTGTCTGACATAATTTCTGTGAAAATTAAATGTTTCTGTCTTTATGCTAGCACTGCTAGGCTTTCAGCGCAATACAAGTATAACCAGTTATTATTTTCATGAGAAGGCCACGCTAGTTGTTGCTAATATGTTTTATTACTTACATTTTGGATTTTCCGTTTTCTCAATAGAATTCAGTCACATATTTAGAGCATAAATTTTTCATTAGCAATCCATTTTTATGTACTAAATTTTGGCATAAGTTCATTCACTAGTGAAGCTACGAATAATTTTAATTTCTCACTTTTTATTCTCTCTGAACGCACTTCGAATATTATAATGCAAATATATGACTGACTACAAATTTGAATTTGCAAATGAATGAATGAGCAGAAGATGCGAAAACGGCTACTGAAATGCCTACTACGATAAAAATTGCTTATGCATAATTGTGAATCAAATTCATACTTAATTACTTTATATTTCACTCAGCAACTGTTGCAAATTGCTTTTTTTCTTAGATATTTTTCTTGACAATTATTTCCTTTTTAATTTCTATTTGAAAATCAAAATACAGTATGACATAATATTTGGTTTCTACCTGCAGTCATAGCAAGAAGAAGTGAGGGATATTAATTACTTTTCGTGTCTGTAATTCTAAGATGTTGATGACAATTTCGATAAACTTGAGTACTATCGAAATGCGCAAGAATATCAAAATTTTTCAACTAAAATCCCGAAGATCAATGAATCTGCAAAACAAAGCAATGTTATTCTTTTCAAATCAAGTTTTGTTATAATGAAGTTGCAGACCAAAGGTTCGAATTTAGCATTTGCGAGTCTGAAATATTCCAATTTCACACACTAAAACAAATTTGTTTCGTTCAATTTTAAATAAAACCAAAGCAAAAATGAATTCTTTGGCTGAAATAACCTTTAAAATCTCATTTTAAGATCTAAAAGTTTTTCTAAACCGAATGTGAGAGATTACAAATATTTTACTTTACTTTCAATCGGAAGTACACTGATCTTTTCATTATATTACTTATAAAATTGCAAAATCTTCGGGACTAACTAAAGTTTTTTACTTTCTAAGCTATAAAACTTTGTGGAAACCATTTTGTGCAAATAAAAGCTTTGTTTGAGACAAAACTCAAATTTAGGCAATGTTAAAGTAAGTAAGTATTACTGCTAATGCCATTCAGAGAGATGTAATGGAGTCAAGAATTTCCGGAATTACCAGTCAATCTAATTGTACACCCTTGAAAATTGCGCAAGCTTTTTGCTCTTTGGCAATTATCTGCTGGGAAATACTCATTACAAGCATTTAATAGCAGCAAATCAAAAAAATAATCGTTTATTTGCAGATGGCCAGAAGTCTCGTCTATAATCGTTTATTCATGGCAAGAAGTCCAAAATTCACCAAATTAGAAAGTTTGAAGAAATTATTGCAATGTAAAAATTGGACAATAAAGAAATGAACAAAATTTAAAGACAAATTTTTAATAATAAACTAAATTATTGAACTTTTTTATCGATGAAAAAATTCATTGAGTTGGTTCAAGAGTGATTTGACCTGAGATTGTATCAGAAAATTAACTTAAAAAAAGTTTTGTTACAAAACCATCCATATTAGTTGTTCATTTGTTTTGAAAATAACTCTCATTACAAAGTTGATTCAAGGGTGATTTGAATTAGATTCAGGTTTGATTGCACTTGAATCAAATTAGCACGCATGGTTCATTGAACAGAGTAAACTAATGCAATACTGGCTAAACTTCATAGTTTTAATGTTATCATGGTGTAGAATTAATATTTAATGTGAGAAAAAAATTATTCGAACCATTAAAATAATTTTGTTTCATAAACTTGGATTACTGCATGAAGGAAACACAAATATGTGCTGAAAGTTAGTAAAAGAAATTCTAAAAATAATATTTAAGACATTTTAAAGTTAATAATAGAAAGTCGAGTTTTAGAAATATGCACAATTTTTAAAGAGCTCAGTAAATGGAGAATTCATTAATAAACTTTCACACGACTTAATAAATGCTCACTTGATACTTTGTGTCACTTGCTTTGAATTTTAATCAGTTGGAATACTTTTCCCGGATTTCACTCATGAAATATTCTTGAAGTGTTAGCTAAGAGACCTTGAAGTTGAAGATCCAAAAGAAGTGAATACTTCAAATTTTAATATGACATTTTCATGAATACCAAAATATGCAGATTCTAGCCAGTTTTTTTACTTTTGCAGTAATAATGCAGCAGCATATTAAATATTTATTTTTCAAGTATGGTAAATAACTCATCACAAATTTGCTTAACGATCAGTCAAATGGAATTGTATGGAAATGAAATGGAAAAGTACCTGCAACGTTTACTGTATCCACTTGTTGCTATATTTGGTGTGACAGGAAATGTGCTAAATCTCACTGTCTTGCTCAACCGATCATCACGAAGCAGGTCACTCAATACTGATTTATTTTTAGTGAACTGATTTTACCAGTTGATCTGCTGACAACTCGGAATAACTTTTGAATCTGTAAAGATTTGTTCCCGTTATCTGTTCAGATTTATCAAACATCGCAAACAAGCCTGATTGCGTAATAATTCATTTAGTAATCAGTACAAAAATCAAGTGATTATTTATTATTGCAGATTTTTTTTCAGGTCAAATATCTTTCTAGCAGCTTTAGCAGTAGCCGACATCATATTTTTATTGTTACTTACACCAAATATTCTGGCTACATATCCAGTATTTACTTACAACTATTTTTATCGTTATATTTATTTTCACATCAAAATTCACTTATTATCATTGACCAATTGGGTATCGAGCACTGCTATTTGGTAAAATCTTCGCAGTTTGTTTTAGACTGGTATTTTATTCAGTTTGATTTTTTATTCAGTCACAAACTGTATTATTTTTCAATGTACATACATACAGGTATTGTCCGGACGAACTTGTGCTTTGCACTGAATAAACAATCCTTTATAGCAGTTGCACAACATTCTCTTCAATGAAGAAAATTCAGAACAAAGCAAATATATTGCTTGATATTAAAAGTCGAGTTTAGAACAATTGTAATATTAGACTGATACTGAGGTAGTTTTAATGGTAACAGATAAAAGTAAGTATACTGAAGTAAAAAATAATTTTGACTTCAGGTTGATGATTGCAGTATGTGCTAATCGACTAATTGGTATCATGCGACCACTTCACGCCAAAACCGACTGGAATCAGTATCGAATTTCATTAATAATTGCTGCAATAATAATAATGACAGGAATTGTTAATTTTTATCAACATTTTCAATATGTGTGCTTAATACGACACTTTTGTTATGGAACTCAAATTTACTCAAAATGCCGTTCAGTTAATAATGATAGGTTGGCAATGCTTCTTATTCAGTAAGACATCTTGCGATAGATTCAGCTCGTGAAATTGTTTACTCGTTTCTCATTTCTTATATATATCCGTTCTGCTTGGAACAATTTTTTTTCCGGAAGTAATTATAAGAAAAGATTAAAAAATCAGAAAGTAATAACAAAGTTATTTAAGAAGGAGTCAACTAAACTACTGTAATTAAGTGCACAAAAAATCATATTTAGTTTTTTTAATAGAAAAATTCAATTTATTTTGTTGCAAACAAAAAATCGCAAGAAAAGTTACAAATATTGAGTTTTCATGGCAGATTTATTTTTTCTAAGCAGTTTGCAAAAAACATTGTTGAACTTACTGAACTTTTTTCTACAATTTTAATAACTTTGGATTTTTTATTATTATTCAAATCTTTGCTAAAACAACTATTCTAAAAATTACTGCTAAATAGTACGAGTCATTATTTCAATTATTTTGAACAAATAGAAGGCGCGTCAATACTTTAGCAAGCTACAATTTGAAAAAGTGATTTTAAAAAGCTACTTAGAAATCTGCCAACTCAAATATAAAATTTAAAAAGCAGTTTAAAAAGACTATTTATTATTTTTAATTTAATTAAAAAAGATGTGATATCAGCATTTTTATATAGAGCATTTTTCTCATTTAAAATTTTTCAAGAGATATGCTTTTATGGCATTACAAATATTCAAATTTAGACGATGGTTCCGAAACGGTACCAATCCTTATCCCACGTCATACCGTAGATTTATTGATATTAGTATAACGGTAAATGCCGTGACAACGATTATATTGCCAATATTTTTGCTCTCATTTCTCAACGTTTTATTACTGTGCACACTAAGAAATCGTCGAGTCTTTTTGCTAGTTGCAAGTAATCAAAAATGGTACAAATTTGAAGTATATTTGGTACCAATTAAAACGCACATAAACTTTTCATTTTTCAAAAATGTCAAACGTAAAATTTTGGTTTTTGCCGTCGAGAATTTTATACTTACGTGAGAATAATTTTATAGTGCAATTAAAATAAAACAAAGTTTGTTATCGATTTGTAAATGAATGAATTTTCTGGTCAATACTTTACACTTTTTTGCTATCAGTTCGCAAAAACGAACAAACAGTTTGATTATTAGGAAAAATCTTTAAACATTTCAAGACAATTTGTGAGAATTTAGCTAAATTATAAAATATTCACGATTGAAAGGCTCTGAATAGCATATTGATGAAATGTGAGTGCAGTTTAATTAAGAATTTGACTTGCTATTTATAAATTGAGAAATCCAAAGTTCAAATTTTGCAGTTCAACGAAAAAGAGTAGTACCTTCCGGTATTTAAAAACGGAACATCACGTTACAATGACGGTTGCACTGATTGTTACAGCATTCATTATCTTGAATGGTCCATCAGCGGTCATTCATTTGGTTAATTTAGCTCACAAGCGCAAACTAAATTATAACTTTATATTGCTTGGAAAGTAAGTTTTTTATTATTGATAGTTAATTAATCAATCAGTTAATTAATTAATTATTATCAATATTAATACTGATACTATTATTATTATGTTAATTTTTTTAATATAAAATTTGTGGCTATTAAAAACAAAATATCATTTCAGTACTTTGGTGATAATCAATAAAGCATGCAATTTCATATTGTTTTGCTTGACAAGCGAACATTTCCGTGGGCGCCTTTTTAAATTAACTCAGAAAAAAGTAAGTCGACGAATGAGAATGTTTTCGACAATTTCTGTTAAAACTAGCAGTAATATACGCCAGCGTGTTCAAAGTTAATTTGCGGGTACTGAATATTATATTTGAGTAAGCAAATATGAGTCACTTACGTTACGTGTATAACTTCATAAATAGTACTTTAAGCTTTTTAAACTGAAAACATTTTATTTTCTGAGACATCATTTTTTTAAACAAGTAATGTAATTTTAATTCATTAGACTAAGTTGAATATTTCTTTTTTTTACAGTTCAAATATAAATTTGTTTGAAGTAATGCAACTAATTTTTTTGATTGTATTGAAACATTTAAGTTTCTTCAAAATGTTATTGGAGTTTTTTTATCGCAGTTCGAGATTTTAATTCAGAACTTCATATAATATATTGATTGATTTAATTTAATTTAATTTAATGCAACTTCAATTTAATTGTTTTCTACTGCTCCAAATTCAGCAAATGTTTTAAAAAAAATAATGCTTATTAAGTTTATTTGCATAAAGTTAAAATTATTACAGATATTAGAAGTAAGCATCAGTAGTAAACATATTTTAAGTACATTTTTTGAAGACAATTAAAATCTTAACATAATTTGTTGGAGAAGATTTAAATTTGCATCATTGTATTTAACCAGCACACTTCTTGTACAAGTTTCCCGCCAAGTCACTCCTTTTACAATCAGTGAAATTTTAAATTTTTTTTACTCTTGTTGGCTATAAAATTCCCTGGCTATTTTTCTTGAACTGTTTCATTCACAATTTATTACTGCAGTCATAAATTTCTAATTAATTTCCGTTTTCTACTAACTGCATTATGTTTTCAGTTAACCCAAATTCGATCAAAATATGCATAATTCAACTTCATCAATGTAAAACTATATTTTGTGAACTGTTAATTTTCATAATAAAACATTACTGTACCAATACATAAACCGTACTTTATTTTTTTGCTTAAATGTATTACAAAAGCAATCTTTGTATAGCACATTCATCTGTACATTCATCTGAACTTGTATTTATGATTCTAACATCTGCATAAAAACTTAGTAACTCATATCACTGCATTGAAAGTATAGTTTGTAATCAATGAAACTTGCACAGCATGAAGTCTTAAATAAACAGCTTTCTGTCTATTGTAATCAGTTTTCTTCAACGTAGGGCCAAAGCATAATTTGACAAAAGTTACTGAAACTTGATCAGATTGCTAAAACTAAACAAATTGATACAACTGAACAACTTCAATTTAGTAGTCATTTAACTAATTTTTTCACTATCTTTGCAATTAGTGAGGAACAAATTTATTGATTATTTCTTTTTATTAATTAATTTATTAACTGTCAACATTATTAGAGAAAAAGTTTGCCTCTGTTTATCCAAATAATAAAGAGAATTTCCCAAACAAACTTGAGTGAATTCTGACTGAGTCATCAGGATAGCATTTATGATATCAAAATTGAAAATAAAATTAATAATTAGATTGGAACGTATTGCTGCACAAAGAAAAAAATGATTATTCAATGAATTTTGTGATCATATTCTGTTCGAATCTGTTGTTATTTTGAACGTACTGAATCCCATCTTTCTTGCGATTTATTTCGATAATAATAAGAATCTTAACTAGTTGTAGATTCGCAATCATTATTGTGATCTTCTTGGGAATCAGTCTTATTTCCATTTTCAAATGACTGCATCTCGATAGTGTAAGATGATTGGTCACTGTAATATATTTTTAATAGAATAGGACAATTTCAAATATTGGTCTAGCGCAAAAGATTTTCAGTCTATTCTCAAAATGGCTAAATTTAATATCTTTTGAAAATTTGCATATATTAAGTCTCTATTCATAAACGGATTCCTTAATTTACTTGTTTATTTGTTGATTTTTCACCTAATCACTATATCGTCTTTATTTTTAAACTGCTGTATTTTAATATGCAAATTTTCATCCTTGAAAAAAAGATTCTGATTGTATTCGTTGCATGCGGTGGATAATTCATTTGTCCATGTGCTTTGCCACTTAATGTGCTCTGAATTTTTTGGTTCCAAAAATGCATCAACAATAATTGTACATGTAGATGCGATCGAATTAACACCTGTTTGTGCCTTGAAAGTTAAAAAATATTAGCAACAAATCGCAAGTAAAAAATTCCTCACTTTGATAGAAAGCATATCCAAAATATCTGTGCTGCATAAAAGCAATTGTAATGAATCGTAATTGTGTACAAAGTCAATGTCAATTGAAAGCACAAAATGAATAAATAATAAGAAATTTAACAGTTGAAAATGCGGAATCAGGCCCACTTGTACATCTGTACGCTCTTTCCTGTGTAACAGATGCGCAGATTCTCCCGAAGGCTGCTTTTCCAATACATTCAATATTTGAAAAAAATTTTTGCTGTTATTCAAAAAATCAAACATAAAATTTAATTTATCTATTTAGATGTTGATTTAAATGCTGATAATATGACACTTTTAGAAATCGGTGAAAAAAATACAAGAAAATATAGTTATTAAGTATATAATTTGAAAAAAATTCAACGCGTAAAGAATTCAAAAATTTGAATTCATTTTGAATAGCAGAACCTGGAAATTCAGACCTGGAAATCATCATGACCATCAAATTGACTTTGCCGTGATAAATTTTCACAGTTTCGTTCAGCTTTATAAATAATAGAAGGTTTTGGAGAAATAAGTGGAAGCTCTGGAAGTTCTTCAATTCGGATTAATTTTATATTTGTTGGTTCTTCCAGAATTGGTGCTTTTGTAATTTTAAATTGTGGCTGAAGCTAGGAATTTACTTAGCAACAATAAATTAATTGGTTGGTGATGAAAGTTACTAACCTGTTTAAAAAAATATTAAAGTTGAGCGGTTGAGCGAACTAACTTCAGTTTTTGTGCTTCTTATTCTCAAATGAACAAGTTTAGATTAATTTTTCAGAGCTTTCGAAAGTGAACTTTAATTTTTTGCAAAAATATGATAGTGCGAGCAAAAATTTGCACTGCAAGTTTGAATGATTAAGTTTGAAATAGGCAAATTTCTTAAAAAGTCTTTTATGCGAAGAAAATGCAAATATTTCAGGCTTTTGGATGATAATAACAGAAAATGAAAATAAATTCAATGGCTAGCAAAAATTTATCCATTTGAATGGATCAGCAGGTTACATCTAAGCTTAAACTTTAAGAGTGCTATTATTTCAATAACGAATTCGCTTTGTGTCTATTTTTTATCTAAAATTTGCATAATAAAGATTAAATCCCTTAACCTTTGTAGTTGGTGTTGACGATACGTTCAAAGGTTTTTGTTTTATTGAGCTGAAAGGTGAAAAATGTACTGTGTTTTAATATTTCAAAATATTTTATTACGATAATTTTTCTGCATCCAATTACTAGATGTACGAAATCATTAATTATTTAAAGCTTTAATTTTAGAACTTAAATATTCATTTACAGAATAATGCATTTAATAATATTAAGAAAATATTCACATGAATTGTGCTATTTTTAATTTTGGGATAGCATATTTTCAATGTTTTGTGAAACTGATAAACTACTGAGACTTTTGAGAAATTTTGAGCTTCTGATACAAACATCCACATGTATAGGGTCAGCATGATTAGAATTCGGACTGATTTAGATCCAACTATACTGTTTTCGAGTTATGATGAAGTAATATAAAAAAATATTCTAAAGAATCTTTCTACAAGAGCAGTTGTTTGCATGTTTGTCTTAGTAAAAAATAATTTTGAAGCGCATTGAAGCTTTTTAAAAACTGAAGAATTAGCCAACAGATACATAATAATCAAATTCGAATTCAAACTGTGGCAGGAAAAAGCTAATTCAATTTTAAATATTAGCAGAATACATAATAGCTCGTTTTACGTGAGTAAAATTTTTATATCTTTTCATGAAACTTAACAATTATTGTAAAAAAGACTTCAAGAAAAATACTGCCGAAATTTAATTGACTTAAAGTCATACCATACCTCGTAATCACTGATAAATCACAAAATGGTATTTCATTACTTGATGGATTATCATAATATCTGCAACATATCAAGATTTCATGCAAATATGAATTAATTGTCTTGATTAAATTGCTTTTTTATTGCCATTGCTAAAAAGTTTTCACTATTTGATGGATTATTATAACGTTCTTTTCCCAGTAAAGTTCGTCAAACAAAACTAAAAGTCTATAATGTAAAATATATTGATATTTTTTCGCAAACTTTTCCCATGATGATTTTGGATCAAATGCAATCGGTAGATAATGATGTAATGCATTTGAATCATTTTGGGCATTAATCGAAGGTGCTGCGAGTTTTTGAGCCATATGACATCTTGAAATTATCTAAAATCACTTACAGTAATCTTAAGCATATTGATAAGAACCTTTATTCTTACAAGACAAAAAATTGTTTGCAGAAAAGAAATGAATGAAAGAAAACGAAATAAGAGAGGAAGAAAACTGCGTACTGTAATCATTTCAAACATTTCTAGAGTCGATTGAGCACACAGCCAAAGTGTCTTCACGTAATCTTTTTTGAGAGTCATTTTTTCAGCCAATATTGCGATATAAGCGCTGGGATGAATACGTGGATCATTACCGTAGTATTCCGGTTTATCATATAAATCATTACAGGTTGTTCCAAAACGAATCGCTTTTGAAGCAGCTTTTAGATTTATGCTGCAAATACTTTACATCACTCACTAATTTGCATCAATTGGAAAAATTTTTACAAAATCGGTTGAATTTGCACTGTGTTCTTTTGAGATAATTAACTGTAATGTGCTACAGCAACTACAGTTAATTATCTCAAAAGCTGTGAGAATACAGTCGCAAAGTCTAACCTTTTTTCTGTAGTCTTTTTTGTCGACGAATCTTTGGTAATTATCAAATAAACTCCGTCCTCTTCATACGAACAAATATACCAAAAATCAGCCCACTTACCCTTAATAGTTATTATAAGGACAGAAACCAAATTCGTATGAAAAAAAAACTGTAAGAAACCTTTCCAACATGTTTGTAAATAATTCCTTGTTTTAATATCATTTTAAATAAGATTAAACTGTAGTTTTGAGTGGTTAAATTTGGTTGAATTGTATAAGTGACTGGAAAGTGATCTGAAATTTAGATAACAATGATCTTAAAAGTTTTACAGAACCTTTGTTTCATTATAACTGAAGTGATTAATGAAAGTAGAACTTGTGAAGGTACCAAAATAAATCATGGAATATGACTGCTTCAAAAGTAAATTTATTGTTACAATCATTACAAGATAAGGAGCATAAAAATATGTATGTACCTTCGCAACGATGTACCTTCACATCAATTATAACTGCATTTTTTTCTGAAGCGAATTAGATTTAAGACACAGATGAAATTTTTGGCAGAGATCATAAGCTTATAAATAAATTGATTGATAGATTTTTTAAATTACTTTCAAGTTAAGATAAAAAAGGGAAAATTGACTAAACGTGTAATAAGAACATAAGCAGGTAACAGATAATATAAAGAATCTGTAACAAAAATAGTAATGACTAAGTTGAAAAACATTTAAGACTAATTTCATAAAAGTGACCGATAAGTTTAAAGATGAATTCAACAAATTTGAGTTAAAAATAAAGCAAAAGGCGGTTTAGTATTGAACTGTTAAGAATTATTCAGAAAGAAATAAACTTTTATTTGTGCAATAATACTGTCATCTCAGTTTAAAACGAACGTCACATGTAAAATAAGCCAAATCTATGAAATTTATCTATTTTCATAAACATTTACGATCAAATGACTCACTACACTTTTTATCACTGCATTCTTCATCACTATCACGGATATTGTGCAATTTTTTATGCCGGAAAATGTCATAAGACTTGTACGTTTATTCGTACAATATAATATAAGTTGTATGATGAAGCGAGAGCGAAACCATAAATCTAAAACTGTTACAGAAATGTAGAACTGTTACTGCAAGAAAAAGCGAAATTCCAGTCATGAAAAATTAGTTAAAGTTGAATACATCACTAAAGTAAGCGTTTAATTCAGTCATTAAGCAGCTTTCAAGTTTTAAAGTGTAATGATATTTCTTGGCGCCAAACATAACATGCTAATTCAGGGAAAAGTTCTTTTGCATTAATT